AAAATCCTGCAGTATTGGGGGATACTGGTAAGGTGCTTGCCTGGCAAGGTCACCACAGAAGAAGTGTAGTCTATAGCACAGGGAAGAGCCAGCTCTACTGTGTAACTAGTTTCCACAGGAAAAAATAAACCGCTACCAACTAAACCCGGAAACCATGGCGGTACAGCCCTCCTGGGATGCCCCCACATGCCATTCCAGTTTCTCCTTACCTGCAGAAGTAACCCATACCCTCATATAGTGTGGATGATATATTAATACCAATAATATACTTCTGAATTTCCATGTGATGATGTATATTAATATTTATAACATAACTTCTGAATTCCATATACTGTATAATAATAAGCAAAAAGTATTATTTAGTGTGTGGGTTATTCCAGTCCATGTTATTATTTGAATTTAACTTTAATTTAATTTAATGAAGCAGCTGTTTGCCTATTTTCATTGCTGACAAATATCCCTTTATATGAATGAGTCATAATCTGTGCCATCTAACATTATATATTTAGGTTGAAACATAGGACTGTCACAGACTGTGAGGATGCAAATTTTTCTTATATGTCTGTGAGGCATATTTACAACTTGGAGCCAAGAGTTAGGCTAGTTCCATCTCATAGAAAGTGGGAAATAGGCACCCAATCTCCCATGATGATATTTTAAAATCATGGCTCCTGGGTCCTTGGGAAAATCATTCCTGGATTGCATGACCTATAAAAGGTTTACTAGGCTTTTAAAATCTTTTACATACATCACAAAGGGTTTGAGAAACAATTCTGAATACCAGGTTTTCTAAAGTAAATGGAACATCTCCTTTATGCATCAATGAGAATACAAGCACTTTCTTTTGAGTGAGTTGCCCTTGGAATCATCATGTCAAATTTCACACACAAGATAAAAAGTGGGTTTGTATTGCTGAATTTTCTTGATTGTATTGAATTATAAAGGAATTTGGATGTAACTGACATTTTTGCATTGTTGATTCTTGCTGAGAGCCACAGCCGAGTCGGTATGACCCCTGGCATTTTGCCAACAGTATTGGTTGACAGGCGAGGCATTACTATCCGCCTCCGCCGCTACTTTGGCATTCTCTCGCTACTTTGGAGTTCTCTCGCTACTTTGGAGTTCTCGTCGGGATTCCGGGGGATTCCTCGAGTGCTCCCATTGGTTGGGGAAGTGCAGGAGGAGGGATTTCCGGGGGAGATTTTTCAGAGGCTGGTTCCTGGAGCAGCCGCCTGGCGTGGGGGAGGAGTTGCTGGTGGAGTTCAAAAATAAAGTTTGTTCCTGCTTCAGTGGCTCCTGATTTGTGTCCAGCCAGACTGCGGCAGATTCTTCCAATCCATGGTAATATAAGTGGAAAAGTTTATTCTTTTTAATTTTTAACTATCAATCATTAATAACACAATAATACAAAATCAGTTCATTTTGATACATTAGCTTTCTATTGGACACCTCGCTAAATTCATTAAGACTAATATTTGTTGAACATTGTTCTGTAATAAAATAAGGAGTGTTATAATGATATTTCATAGATTTTCCTTCCTTATTTTACTGGTTAAAAAACAGTCTAATGTCTCAGAGATTACATAGGATATGTGCCTCTTGACCTTAGGGAGAAAACTTTTAAGAATATTTTTCTGTAATTTTACAAAAACACTCTCACATCAAGGATGTTTCCTAGATTTTTAGTTTATTAAATCCCTTTTTCAGAAATGAGTACTAACATTTATTTTAAATGCATCTATTATAACATATGATTATGTTATATTCTTCTATAATCTACTAACATGGTAAATTCAGTTGATGATTTTTAACCCAGACTTTTTTGGGGGTACTGGAGATTGAACCCAGGGGTGATCTAGGAGTAGGTCATATTCCCAGCCCTTATTATTTTTTATTTTGAAACAAAGTGTCACTAAGTTACTGAGACTGGCTTCAAACTTGCAATCCTCCTGACTCAGCCTCCTGAGTCTCTGGAATTACAGGGCCACCACGTGGGGCTTAATCAAAACTTCTTGCATTTTGAAAATTTTGATTTGGAAATATTTTGCTCTGAATTATTTGAATATACTTGTAAAATTTTGTTATCTGAGAAGCGATGACCTCATTGATGAAAATAGGTAGAGTTTCTTCCTACAGTGTTTTAATGTCTGATAGAATTCATCCATAAAAGCACCTGTCCCTGAAATTCTGCACTATTCATTTGTGTTTAACTAACTGCATGTTTCTCCTGTTTCTAGCTTACGTCTGTTAATCATCCACCCATTGCTGAAACAGATTCTCAGAGAAACAAGACAGCAGAGACTAAATTGCCAAAGTTGAGCCTGAGAACATTTTGCTAAGAATGCCTTCAAATCTCACAAACTCGTGTCAGTGTAAAACATCCCAGAATGATTTTGAATTAGGAAATACAGAATTCAGACGAACCCAAGGATCCGCTGTCCAGAATGGAGAGATCTTCTCTGAGTTCTCAAGCTCTCAGCTCAACTCACTTCCAGACAACGGTAACTCAAATGCAAGGAAGGAGCTGCAGAGACTCCATGGGATTTTTCACTCATGGTTGCAGCCGGAAAAGCATAGTAAGGATGAGATTATTTCTCGATTGGTCCTGGAGCAGTTTATGATTAATGGAAACTGCAGGGACAGATCCATTTTGAAAGAGAAATGGGAATCAAGTGGACGAAACCTGGAGAAATTAATGGAAGACCTGACTGATGACTGCATGGAGCCACCAGTCTTAGTGAGTAGATGGTTGTGAACTTTGGTGAGAGACAAAGCAAAGTCGGGAAGAGCACAGTCTAGTACAGCTGCCTGGAAATAGAAAAAAGTCATAGCAGACCTGATGTTTCATCAGATCACACTCTCTCCCAACCACTCTTTCTCACCAAGGAGAATTTTCCCTGTTCTACTTAACAGAAAATGTGTACCTGTTTATTCTGAGGATATCTATGAGCCAAACACATTGATTGATTGAAGTTAATAAATTCAGTTTGTGCAGAAGTGGTGGCGATCTATAACAAGTTAACATTGGAGTAAAGACCTCAAGGATTAAGAATTACCTTGACGGGAGCTTTTATTTCCTTAAGGATCCACAATATAATATTATTAATCATGAAAAAATATATAATTTTATTAATCAGTGATAACTGATCAAGAATGCATATTAAATGAGATGCTTTGAATAGATACACATAAACCAAGGTTATGTGTTGCCCAGTTGATGAAAATATTGTGGCCAGAAGTTCACCAGAAACAGCATTTTCCCCAGGCATAATTATTCTATAGTTACAAATTCAATGTTCATAGTTACTTATAAAGCATAACAACTTGTGAACGATGGAACTAGCACTATCAGAGATAGGGTTAGACAAGGTGTGGTAACTCAGAGTTGGGAGATCTTGTGATAGTCTGTTGAGGGCAAGTTTTCCAAAAAGTTTTTTCCTTACACAACTGACTCACATATAAAAGTGAAATGGCTTTCTTTACAGGTACGTGTTCACATGCAAGGACAGGAAGCCCTTTTTTCTGAGAATATGCCCTTAAAAGAAGTTATTGTTCATCTCAAAAAACAGCTATCAGCAGAAAACACAACAGGAGAGAATAAAGGGATGTCCCTCCAGGCTCCTCAGGATACTCCCCTGGAGACAAGACAAGGTGAGTCAGGCAGACCCCCACCCTGGGGGTTATCCTGTGTGTGCCCCTTCTTGAGTACCACTTCATTTCGTGGCTTCTTTACTTCCACAGGAAATGAAGATAAAGAAAATGCATGCAACAATTTCTGGAAAAATACTCAAGTAGATGACAGTATTACTTGTCAAGGGACTCAAACACCTTCCCTACTCATTATCCAGGAAGATCACTGTCTTCGGTTAGAAGATGGAGGTGCTTCTTGTGAGAACCCACACAACTCCAGAAGGGGAGTCACGTCTCACTCTGAGAAAGGGCCCCTGGAGGGACCTTCTTACCAAAACATCCCTGTGGGGGAGCAACCAGAGTTTCTCCCCACCTCAGACCAGTCCTCCTCCGAGTTTGTCCCTGCCCACCAGAGCAATAAGGGAGACTCCACGTGTGGGGGACACCATGAAAAATACCGTGGAGCTCAAAAGTCATACAAATGTAAGGAATGTCCCAAGATTTTTAGGTATCTCTGTCACTTTTTAGCCCACCAGAGAAGACACAGAAATGAGAGGCCATTTGTTTGTGCTGAGTGTCAAAAAGGCTTCTTCCAGGTGTCGGACCTACGTGTGCACCAGATGATTCACACAAAGGAGAAGCCTTTCAAATGCAGCAGATGTGAAAAATCCTTCAGCCACAAAACCAACTTGAGGGCCCATGAGAGAATTCACACAGGAGAAAAGCCCTATACGTGCTCCCTGTGCCAGACAAGCTACCGCCAATCGTCTACATACCACCGTCACCTGAGGATTCACCAGAAAATCAGACTCAAAAGTGTTTCTTCCACACCAAAAGCTTCCTCAACTACTGCCCCTATGTAATTTAAGTGCGTATATTGCATACATGTGTATTTCCATAGTATTTATCCATTGAGAACATGCAATGTACCTTCCTGATTATGTTGTCTCTCACCATGAAAATGTAAGGTTAAAGAGGGCACCGCATGTGTCAATTTTGTTCACTACAGTATTCCAAGTGCTTAGAAAAGTGACTGATATTTCATGTTTAATAAATATCTGTTGAGTGAACAAATTAATCTGTAATGTTCATGTTATTAGCCGCTTAGAAATTTAAAAAAAAATGTGCCCACATGAAAAGATCTATCCTGGAGGACAAAACACCACTCCTCACAGTGGTCCAGAGGGGCTTTCACTACCCATGGCCGCCATCATCCCAGCACACTCTATTTCTGTAACCACAGACACCTAAAAACACCCTGAGCAGAGGTGGATATTTGAAGGCAGATCTTGCAAGATGACTTTTTCAATTTACTGGAAATGTTAATAACTAAATTAGGACTGAATATGACTGATAACTTAAAGCTGCAGAAGGTAATTTTATGAACAGATGACAAAAAATACAACTACTTCCCATTATTTTCTTCCAAGAATGGCAGGTCAGGAGGGAAGGGGAATTTATTTCCGGAACCAGCTTTAAAAGGAAGTTCCGAGAAAAAAAAAAAAATCCTGTGCAGATCTGAGGTGAATGGGCATGTATTGGTGGGCTGCTTTCCACTAGGAAATTGGAGCTCAAACCCACTGACTAACTAGAGGATGTCATGCAGGAATGCCCTAAAACATGGAAGGAGGAATTGTCAGTGTAAATTGTGATGGTTCTCTCATGGTCCCTCTCCAGAACTATGGGGCTGTGTACAGTCCTCTATTGGGTGGGACTCATTTTATTCGTCCTCTTTCATGGGCTGTCTCCAGGTGTTTTGCTACTGTGGACATTTTTGCATATGATTCTTGGTACACAAGGGAAAATATTTCTTTAATAAATGAGGCAAACAGAAACATTTTGTAAGCTTTTTTTTTTCCTTTTCATTTTGAATCCATGACTGCACCATCAGCAGCAAAAAAAAAAAAAAAAAAAAACCTGAATGTCCATGTCTTCTCCAACACTCAGTATGGCGATAGCTTTGGTTTTAATACCTGGATCCTGAGTACAATTATCGGAGTCTCCAGGTAATACAAAGGGGCAAATAAAGCTCTTTGCCTCCTTCCCCCTTGCACAGTTGGTAGGCTTGGATTCTGTAGGTGTAAGGCACACCTGTGCATTCTCCAGGACACACAGCGCCCACAGTGACGGTCCTGGCTATTCACAGGAATCACAGCTGTAGGCAGGAGGTTCCGGGACTCCGCCTGGTCTAGCCCACTTCCACATATCGGTCATTATGTCCTACCCAGAGTCCAAGTACACCACAGTTTCCTGCACATAACTTTTGGCACGGGTTCTCACATGGGACTGAAGGCTAAATTCCCAGGATAAGGTTAAAAACATCTTCTGTCTAAGGAGCTGTACTCGAGGCAAGCTCTGCGCAGCCGGACCAGTGCCACCAGGAACTTCCTGCCTGAAGCTCTGCAGCAAAGGTTGGACTGAGTCCCGGAACCTCCTGCCTACAGCTCCCCTACAGAGGTCGGACTGAGTCCCGGAACTTCCTGTCCAGGGCTCCACTGCGGCGGATGGGCGGAGTCCCGGAACCTCCTGCCTACAGCTCCCTACAGAGGTTGGACTGAGTTCTGGAACTTCTTGTCCAGGGCTCCACTGCGGCGGATGGGCGGAGTTCCGGAACCTCCTGCCTACAGCTCCCTACAGAGGTTGGACTGAGTTCCGGAACTTCCTGTCCAAGGCTCCACTGCGGCGGATGGGCGGAGTCCCGGAACCTCCTGCCTACAGCTCCCTACAGAGGTCGGACTGAGTTCCGGAACTTCCTGTCCAGGGCTCCACTGCGGCGGATGGGCGGAGTCCCGTAAATCACCGGACGTGAATGCAGGTTTCCACTGAATCCTGGTCATATACAGATCCTCAAGACACAGCCCCTTCCTGCTCCGTCCATCAGTGGACCCCTGCAGGTCATACTGACGGTAAGTAACTGGAAAGTAGCACGGGTGGGAGAGCCAGGCTCGGAGCCCACCGGGCCTGGGATGGTGTGAGGAGCACTGCACGTGGAGCCCAGCAGCAGGGCACGGTGGGAGCGACTGTCCTGAAGGTGTGTTCTCCCATCTGTGAATCCACTGTGTCTCCACACACTGCCCCTGCGACTCTTCTGACATCAGGGCTCTGAGGCTTTTTTTGCTCAACAAAATAAACCTGTATGAGAATTCTGTTTAAAGTATTCTCCTTTTCCTTAGGTTAGAAAGAGTTCTGTTGTTCAATTTCTGGTCTGTAATTATACTAGTCTCCTCCTGTGTTATTGAAGACTTAATATTTTGTCATCTGCCTCATAATCTAGGTTTTTAAATTCTAGATTTCAGTTCCTCTCTTTATAGCTTTCCCTGCCCCATTTTATGATCAATTGCTTCTCGTTTTACATAGACTGAGGAAGAGCTTACTTAACATATTATTTTTATAATAAAATATTACTCATTTATTCTGTCCAGACTTAAAAGCCACATCTATAATTATAGCAGCTGACTTTTCCAGAAGCATGATACTTTCTGGATGATTTTATCTGTAGTGCAACATCACACATATTCTCACTGCTCCCTTCTTCCACTCTCTTCCCTGTTCTCCTCCTCCCTCCCTAGGTGTGCAGGGTCACTCTCTTGCATCACACTATGCATTTGCTCACTATCTCCCTAATCAATGGTCTCACCTAATCACAGAAAATTTATAAATGAGTGTGTGACCCTGGACACAGGAGAATGAGGGTGCATATAGAGTGATTTCTAGACTTGGAATCTTCTCTGTGTGGACTTACTCATGTCAAGACACTGAGGAAATGTTCCTCAGTTGAATTTAGGAGAGGTCCTGGATGTCATATATTCCCTCTCTCTCTCTCTTTTCTCATAGTGTTTAGTGAAAACATAAACGATGGAACTATGTGATTATTGATGTATTTATAAAACCTGATCTCTGTAATGCGATAACAGGCTGTATTTCTTTTATACACTGGTCCACCCATCAGGCAAACTCTCGTTGTCTCTTTACATTGAAAAGCATGGGCATTACAAGTGCACCCTAGTAGAGAATGGTAGATAACTTCGTTTGGGGGAGGCTCTCAATTCAGGCTAACACTTTAAACCTCATGATGCTTTATAAAATACAAACAATGCTTCTCGTGAGGTAGTGTTCATATAGTAAAAAAATAGATGACCTGCTTAACAGGAAAAAAAAACGTCCCTCCTCTCCTAAATATAGGAAATAGCAATTCAAAGTACTGAATTATTTAATATCTCAAGGGTAACACTATAGTTTTGGAGTCCCCTGTAGTCTCTTGTATCTAGAGGCTTGGTGCTCAGGTTGCTGGTATTGGAGGTGAAATTTTAAGAGGTAAAGAAACATACATGATTATGATTGGATGCCTCATCCTTCATATCATTGTCAAGATCCAGGGGTTGAGTAGCTCTCATACGACAGTCTCATAGCAGGCACCACTGTCACTCAATGAACCTTACCCCAATGGGAGGCCCGTGTGCCCTCAGAAGGGAATGTTAAAAACTGGTATCTCTTCTGCTTCTGGTTCAAAATGTAATCATTTAGTTGCTCCCTCACAGGCTCCTGCCATTTTTATTAATACCATGAGGCAAGACATCCAAAGGATCACTTTTGCAGATCATGCAATCTGCTATTTGGACTTTCAATCTCCAAAAATGTAATATAAGTAAATCTCTTTTTCATCATCAGTAACCTGTGTCAGCTATTTTATTATATTGAGGAAAAGTAGATCATTTTATCAGTTTAAAAATTCAAGTTATTTTTTAAGTGTCTTTTTTTCTATTTCATGTACATTTCATCTTATCCTAAGTGTCTTGACATATATTTTCTCTTTCCATTCCCCCTGCTCACAAATATCTGTGCCTTTGAGGAGTCTTTAAATTCAGTTTGAGTGACTGGATTATAGGAAAGTGTTGGGTGGATTATCTATATTAATCGATTCAATTTTTCAAAAATGATAAATTATAATGCAGTTATCAGTTTAGATACTAAAAAACATGAAGGAAATGAAGACTAGAATCAAAGTTTATACTACCTAAAAAAATGAGGGGACACACTAAAAAGTGTTGAACAATGGTATTTTCTTGAAAATTCAGTCCATTTGAAGCAAGACAGATATTTGACCTCATTCTATTACTCTTTTTTCAGTAAATATAAAACTTTTAGTTATGTTGGCATAAAGACCTGAATTTACTTGTCCTGTTCAAAACCACAGATACCCCTTGTGGTTGGAGAGTTATGTCCCCTTCACGTCTAAAAGACACATATAAGTATAATTGGCTTTCTCCATTCCTGGTATCATTTTCATGGTTCAGGGCATCAACACCTCTCACATGAAAGTTTCATAGCAGGCACTGCTACTGCTGAATGATCTCAAACCACAAAAGCATTCCATGTAACACCTTGGTCTAATACCTTTCTAACTTTTTTACAGACATAGATAGAAGTTCATTTTTCTGATCCTTAAATCTATACCATGAAGCTGTGTGCCGAAGCCTGTGTTATTACTATTTGACCATCATCGTTATAGCTGTATGCTGATTAACAAAAATACCCTAGTAAATTTTTGAAATTGTGGTAGAATACAAATACCAAAACAGTGATTATTTTAACCATTTTAAATTATATAGTACAGTAACATGAAGAGTATTCACATTGGTCTGCCACCAATCTTCAGAAACTTTTTTCATTGCAAAACTGAAATTCGATACCCATTCAAAAACTTTTCATTGTTTTTTCCATTTGCTTCTAATAGCCATAATTTTAGGTTCTGTGTCTATCAGTCTGAACATTCTGGATGCCTCACCCATATGGAATCATATAGTACTTGGGACTGGCTTCTTTCTCCTCATACAACGATAGTTATCCAGGTTGTAGCATGTGTTTTTTCCTTTGGGCTGTGGCTGTGGCTCAGTGGTAGAGTGCTTGCCTACCATGTGTGAGGCACTGGGTTTGATTCTCAGCATCACATGTAAATAAATAAATAAATATCCATCAACAACTAAAACAATATTTTAAAACTTTTCTTTCCTCTTTAAGGATAAATAATATTACATTGTATGTGTATATCATATTGCATTTATGCATTCATCTCTTGGTAAACTTTGGATTGCATTTGACTTTTGTGAATAATGCTGCTAGGAAAAATGGGCATACAAATATCTTCAAGACTCCACTTTCAATTTTTTAAATACATAGCAAAAAGTGGAATCCTGGGATCACATGGTAATTCTACTCATAATTTTGTTCAGAAATCTCCTTTCTATGTTTCAGGAACCTCCTTTCTGCATCAATTTACATTCCCACTGTGTGTCACAAGTGTTCCAATTTGTGCACATCCTTGACAGCACTTGCTATTTTCTGTTTTGGGGGCATTTTTTCTTATTATTTGTTTGGGCTAGGATCCATTTATTATTGTTTGTTTGGGCTAGGATCCACCCTACTGATTGAGAGTTGACAACTCATCCTGAAGTTTTTAATTTGTGGTGCTAGTGATTAAATCCAGGACCTTGCACATGCTGGGTAAGCACACGCCATCATGGAGCTATATCATCAATCCCTCATTGTGATTTTGATTTGCATCTATCTAATAATTAGTAATTTAAACATTTTTTCATAGGTCTGTGGGCCACTTGTATTTGTGTTTGGGAGAAAATATATTTAACCCTGTGCTATTTTTAGTCAGATTATTTGGTTTTCTTTCTCTTCTTTTTCATTAGGAGTTGTTTGTAAACTATGAATATGAACGCTTTATCAAATATATGATTTGTACATATTTTCTCCAATTTCTTTTCCAAATTTTTGAGATCTAAGCTG